TCTGGGTCTTCCATGCAGGTGCAGGGGCCCAAGGACTTGAGCCATCCTCCACTGCTATCCCAGGCCACAGCAGAGAGCTGGATCAGAAGAGAAGCAGCTGTGACTAGAACCAGTGCCCTTATGGGATGCCGGTGCTTCAGGCCAGGGCGTTAACCCACTGTGCCGGCCCCAACCCCAAGTTTTTTTTAAAGATTCATTTTATTTATTTGTAAAGCAGAGTTAGAGAGAGAGAGAGAGAGAGAGAGAGATCTTCACCCACTGCTTCACTCTCCAAATAGCTGCAATGGACAGGGCTGGGCCAGGCCAATACCAGGAGCCAGGAGCTCCATCCTGGTCTCCCAAGCAGGTGCAGGGGCCCAAGCACTTGGGCCATCGTCCACTGCTTTCCCAGGCCATAGCAGAGAGCTGGATCGGAAGTGGAGCAGCCGGGACTTGAACCGGCACCCATGTGGGATGCTGGCACCGCAGACGGTGGCTTTACCCACTACGCCACAGCACAGCGGCCCCACGCAGTTTCTCAAACTAAGCACTTGCATCCAAGGCACCCCCTGCCCTTGACACCCCTCTGGCCTCTGCCCGAGCAGGGATCTGCGTGGCCGATCCCTACGAGGTCACGGTGATGCAGGACTTCTTCATCGACCTGCGGCTGCCCTACTCCGTGGTGCGCAATGAGCAGGTGGAAGTCCGCGCCGTCCTCTACAACTACCGGGAGTCTGACTCCCTCAAGGTGCGTGGGCTGGCGGGCTGGCGGGCTGGTGGGGGCGTCCACGGTGCACAGCCCTGCTGTGACGCGCCCTGCCTCTCTCTGTCTGGCAGGTACGAGTGGAATTGCTCTACAACCCAGCCTTCTGCAGCCTGGCCACCGCCAAGAAGAACCACCAGCAGACTGTGACCATCCCGCCCAAGTCCTCGCTGCCCATCCCCTACGTCCTCGTGCCTCTCAAGATCGGCCTGCAGGAGGTGGAGGTCAAGGCCGCCGTCTACAACCGCTTCATCAGCGACGGCGTCAAGAAGACCCTGAAGGTCGTGGTGAGTCCTCGGGGGGCGTCTGCGGCCCCTGGTCCTTCAAGGAAAACACCTGGCCCGTGCTGCTTCATCTTCACAGATGTGTTTACCTGAGGGTCCCGTGCTGTGGCGTAGTGGCCTAAGTGGGCTAAGCCTCTGCCTGCAGCGCCGGCATCCCATATGGGTGCCAGTTCGTGTCCCGGCTGCTCCACTTCCCATCCGACTCTCAGCTTATGGCCTGGGAAAGCAGTGGAAGATGGTCCGAGTGCTTGGGCCCCTGCACCCACGTGGGAGACCTGGAAGAAGCTCCTGGCTCCTGGCTTCGGATGGGCCCAGCTCTGGCTGTTGTGGCCATCTGGGGAGTGAACCAGCAGATGGAAGGTCTTTCTCTCTGTCTTTCCCTCTCTCTATGTCTGTAACTCTACCTCTCAAGTATATGAATAAGTCTTTAAAAAACATTTATTTACTTGAAAGGTAGAGCAATGGAGAAAGGGTAAGAGGGATAGAAATAATGATTGATTGATAGATAGATAGATAGATAGATAGATGCTAGATAGATGCTAGATGATAGATAGATAGATAGATAGATAGATAGATAGATACTAGATAGATGCTAGATAGGTGGTAGATAATAGATAAATAGGTAGGTAGGTAGGTAGATAGATAGATAGATAGATGCTAGATAGATGCTAGATGATAGATAAATAGGTAGGTAGGTAGATAGATAGATAGATAGATAGATAGATAGATAATCTCCCACCTGCTGGTTCACTCTCCTAAATGGCTGCAACAGCCAGATCTGGACCAGGCAAAATCCAGGAACCAGGAGCTCCATCCTGGACTCCCCCAAGGGTGGCAGGAGCCCAAGCACTTGGGCCATCACCTGCTGCTTCCCGGTGTATTAGCGGAGCAGAGCTAGAACTTGAAACTGGTGCTCCGACACAAGGTGCCGGCATTGCAAGCTGTGGCTTAACCTGCTGCACGGCGGTGCCAGAGGTGGGAGACTCAGGCTCTAGGACACTAGGACTCACAGCGTCCCACCTGGGAAATATAGACGTTCCAGAAAGCAGAGCTCGGGTTAGAATAAGGCAGCGGACATGCCTCTGGTGTGGAATTTTAGGAACCCTAACAACCTCCGCTGTCAAAAGCAAAGTAATTCAGCGCAATAGTTTTTTTCTATACATGACTTGTTGACTTCTGTTATCTGAGAGGCAGAGACACAGGCAAATGTCTCCCTTCTTCCGGTTCATTCTCCAAATGCCCACCATGGCGCCCAGCTGGGGCCAGAGCCAGGAGCCAGGAGCTCCATCCGGGTCTCCCATGTTGGCGGCAGGGACCCGAGCACTTGAACCATCACTGCTGCTCCCCAGGGTCTGCATTAGCAGGGAGCCGGGGCCAGGACCCTGACACAGGTGCGGGGGTCCCAAGAGGCATATTGCCTGCTTGGACAAACACCTGCCCCCATTATGGTGTATAGTACAGCTACATTTTTTTAAAGAATTATTTTATTGATTTCAAAGACAGAGTTAGAGAGAGAGGTAGAGCCAGAGAGAGAGGTCCTCCATTCCACTGGTTCACTCCCCAAATGACCGCAATGGCCAGAGCTGAGCTGAGCTGATCAGAAGCCAGGAGCCAGGAGCTTCTTCCAGGTCTCCCACATGGGTGCAGGGGCCCAAGCATTGGATCATCTTCCAAAGCTGTCCCAGGTGCATTAGCAGGGAACTGGATTGGAAGTGGAGCAGCCAGGGCTCGAACCGGCACCTGTATGGGATGCAGAGCCACAGGAAGCAGCTTAACTTGCTGTACCACAATGCCAGCCCCCACTTTTTCCTTACAAAGGAAGAAAACAAGGCACAGAGGGGTTAAGTAACCGGCCCCGAGTCACACAGCTACAGGAGTGATGAGCCAGGTCAGAGGCCCCGACACCTGAGCCAGGGTGACTGCAGAACAGCGCCCCACTGACCCTCTGTGTGTCCTTCCATGTCCCCTCCCTCTCCCCTTCCCCAACGCTGAGTAGCCTGAAGGAATGCCAATCAACAAAACTGTGGCTGTTCGAACCCTGGACCCAGAGAACCTTGGCCAAGGTGGGTGAGCTGCAGGAGAGGGGGTGAGGCCGGCCCTGGGCATGGTGGGGCGAGAGGAGGGTGGGGCAGGAGGAGAGCAGGTGGCATGCACGTCTCTCTCCTTGTGGGGGAAGCCTGGGCATGGTGGCCAGCCACCTTCAGGCCTCTCACTTGCCCGGTAGGGGGCGTCCAGAAAGAGGAAATCCCTCCGGCGGATATCAGCGACCAAGTCCCAGGGACCGAGTCTGAGACCAAAATCCTCCTGCAAGGTGAGATGCCCTCAGCCCTGAGCTCACGGGGCCCGGGCAGCAATCCGGGAGCTGTGAGCCCACCCCCCAGAAAGGGGTTGAACTCCATCTCCTTGCATCGGTGCCTCACCACCCCTCCACATCCGGGCAGCCCCTCTTGGACCTGCTGTCTAGAAACGTCCAGAGGAGTGTGCATTCTTACTTTGCTAAATGATCGTAAGTAGCGATAAGAAAAAATGCACATTTGAAAGCAATACAAAAGAATTGCTGAAATCTATGAGCACAAGCTAGTGAAAAACGTATAAGATGGAAAAACTATGTGTGGGTTCCAAAGATTTTTTTTTTTTTCACCAAAACAAGCTCATCTGATTTCTTCTATGAGAGACAAAAGAGCTACATCTGCTGGTTCACTCCCCAAACGCTCACCACGGCCAGGACGGGGCAAAGGCAGAAGCCAGGAGCTAGAGACCACCTCCAGGCCTCCCTCATGGGTGGCAGGGACCCAAGGGCAGCCGTCCCCTACTGCCTCCCAGGGTGTGCATCGGCAGGCAGCTGGGTGTCACACCTGGCTGCGTTGCGGGCATCTTAACCGCTGGGTCAAAACACTCCTTCCCCAAAATTTTTTTTAATTTTTTGACAGGCAGCGTGGACAGTGAGAGAGAGAGACAGAGAGAAAGGTCTTCCTTTGCCGTTGGTTCACCCTCCAATGGCCGCCGCGGCCGGTGCGCTGCAGCCAGCACACCATGCTGATCCGATGGCAGGAGCCAGGTGCTTATCCTGGTCTCCCATGGGGTGCAGGGCCCAAGCACTTGGATCATCCTCCACTGCCTTCCCAGGCCACAGCAGAGAGCTGGCCTGGAAGAGGGGCAACCGGGACAGAATCCAGTGTCCCAACCGGGACTAGAACCCGGTGTGCCAGCGCCGCAAGGCAGAGGATTAGCCTAGTGAGCCGCGGCGCCGGCCACCCAAAATTTTTAAGTCAGCTTTCCCTGAACATTTTGAAGACCCTGTGACTCTAATGCTAAGCAAGATCTGTTGTTGGTATTTGTGGCGCTTGTTATTAGAATTATTTTTCCTCTGGTGAAATGGGAGACTAGAAGAGGAGGGTTCACTGTGAACCGGAAGCCCCCACCCCCAAAGGCAGACCCCTCCCTCCCCCAGTCACATCCTCCCAGCCCGCACCTGCCCTGGCCCCTTGGGTCCCTCCTCACCCCCGGGGGTCACCCTTCCTGGCTGCAGGGACCCCCGTGGCCCAGATGACGGAGGATGCCATCGACGGCGAGCGGCTGAAGCACCTCATCGTGACGCCGTCCGGCTGCGGGGAGCAGAACATGATCGCCATGACGCCCACGGTCATCGCCGTGCACTACCTGGACCACACCGAGCAGTGGGACAAGTTCTCCCTGGAGAAGCGGCAGGAGGCACTGGAGCTCATCAAGAAAGGTGGGCGCCACCCGCAGACCCCGCCCCGCCAAGCCCCTCCTCCCCCAGGACCCCTCCTCCCTGAGACCCCGCCCCGCCAAGCCCCTCCTCCCCCAGGACCCCTCCTCCCTGAGACCCCACCCCACTGTGCCCCTCCTTGGCCAGACCCCTCCTCCCCTGAGACCCCACCCTACCATGCCCCTCGTCCCCCAGGACCCCTCCTCCCACAAGACCCCACCCCACCAAGCCCCTCCTCCCCCAGGACTCCTCCTCGCCTGAGACCCCGCCCCACCGAGCCCCTCCTCCCCCAAGACCCTGCTCTACCCTGCCCCTCCTCCCTCAGGAGTCCTCCTCCCATGAGACCCCACCCCACTGTGCCCCTCCTTGGCCAGACCCCTCCTCCCTGAGACCCCACCCCACCAAGCCCCTCCTTGGCCAGACCCCTCCTCCCCTGAGACCCCACCCTACCATGCCCCTCGTCCCCCAGGACCCCTCCTCCCACGAGACCCCGCCCCACCGAGCCCCTCCTCCCCCAAGACCCTGCTCCACCCTGCCCCTCCTCCCCCAGGACCCCTCCTCCCCCAGACCCCGCCCCACCAAGCCCCTCCTCCCATGAGACCCTGCCCTGCCAAGCCCCTCCTCCCCCAGGACCTCTCCTCCCCCAGACCCTGCTCCACCCTGCCCCTCCTCCCCCAGGACTCCTCCTCCCCTGAGACCCCGCCCTGCTGTGCCCCTCCTCGGCCAGACCCCTAGCTTGAGACCCCACATCCTCTGAGATTCCTCCCCTGGGGCCCCTCCTCCTCTGAGACCCCCTCCTCCCTGAGATCCCTCCCCCTTGAGACTCTTGTCAAGGCCACACCCTTCCTCTAAGAGCTCCTCCCACTCCTCTGATCCCCCGTCCCCCAACTCCCCTTCCCTCTCCAAAGCCCTGTCCTCTCTCTAAGCCCCTTGCTGTCTCTGAGATCCCTCTCCACTGACGCCCCCAGACCCCTCCGGTTCTCTTGTTCCCCTGGGAATCTGGTCCCCCCCAGTCCCCTTCTCTTTCCCACCCCCTGGCAGCACCCCTGTGCCCTCCCTGGTGAGCCCACAGCAGCTACCTCCTCTGCTCAGGCCCCACCCCTCCTTGGGGTCCCCCTCTCTCCCTGCAGGCTACACCCAGCAGCTGGCCTTCAAGCAACCCAACTCGGCCTATGCAGCCTTCCTGAACAGGGCACCCAGCACCTGGTGAGGCTCTGGGCCGGCCTGGGCCTTGCCCCTCCCTGGCCCCAGGCACTCCGGGCGGATGGGGGAGTGGTCTAGGACTCCTCGGACCCTGAGCATCATTAGACGCCGACTGCACGCACCAGCTGGGTCCCAGGAAGGGCCAGGCCCAGCCTCTCATAGCTGACCGAGCGTGCAGCCCGGAGCCCGCAGGCTCACGCTCAGTGTCCACCCCCAGGCTGACCGCCTATGTGGTCAAGGTCTTCTCTCTGGCCGTCAACCTCATCGCCATCGACTCCCAGGTCCTGTGTGGGGCCGTGAAGTGGCTGATCATGGAGAAGCAGAAGCCGGATGGGGTCTTCCAAGAGGACGCACCTGTGATACACCAAGAAATGATCGTGAGAGGCCGGGGCCACGGGAGGAGTGGGCAGAGGGCGGCTGGGCGAGGCCAGGCGGAGGAAGACGCCACTATCTGCCCCCTTCCCAATTCACAGCTGGAGTGGGAGGGAGGACAGAGAGATACATGACCCCAGGCGGTCATGCCCACGTCACCAACGCCAGAGGCCTGTGCAGCCCAGGGCAGAGAGAAAACACAGGGTCCCCTCATTCAGAAACTGTTAAGGGTTTCATTCGTGCCAATGCCCAGAGACCCTCCCTCACATCCGAATCCGTCTCCTATTCCTGCTGCCAGGGAGTTGCTCAAAGCTCTCCCCTTCTCCCCTTCTCCCCGCCTCCCTGGCCAGGAGACCCTGCAGGCCTCCCACCCCCACCCCCACCCCAGCTCTCACCCCAGAGCTGCTGGGGCAACTTTGAATCTGCTTGAGCCACTCCTTGACTCCTAAACAAGGACCTCCTTGGAGTAGCTGGTGTCTTTGGACCACCGCCACCAGCAGCATAAACGTGTTAGAAATGCACCTTCTAGGGGTGGGCATTTAGCTGGGTGGCTGCAATGCTGGGTAAGGAGCCTGCATCCCACATCGGAGGTCCCGGGGCTTTTGCACCTGCTCCTCCTGCTGCTATCTGGAAGAATCGACTCCTCCTCTCAAGTCATGGCTCCAGCAATACAGATGCCCCAGGGGTATCTTTCTCAACCTCCCTGCCTGGCTCATATTCTCACCACGATCTTTTCCTGCATAGCACTTGAAGGTTTCTCATTACAGGGACAGTCCCTAATACAGAAACGTTTCCCCTTCTGTGCACTCGGACACCAGGAAGAGGCCCGGCCCTGCCTAGACCTCCTGGCTCCGCACTGGGGGTAACTGTCACGTGCGGACTCCTTGGTAACCCCCACCTTGCTTCCTGCTCCCCATCCCAGGGTGGCCAGCGGAACTCTGTCGAGAAGGAAGCGGCCCTCACCGCCTTCGTTCTCATCGCCCTGCAGGAGGCTAGAGAGATTTGCGAGGAGCAAGTCAACGTGAGTGTCCCCCGCCTTGTCCCCGCACCCTGCCCATCCAGATGTCACCCTCAAGGTGTTTCCAGCCCTCCCAAGGGCCACAACAGCCACCGTGGTCACTCTGATAACACCTAACGCTCACAGAGCACCTACCCAAGACCCCCATCCAGGGGCTTCGTGTAACCGCCCCGGAGGTGATGGATTCGTGTGAGCCCCAGTTCACAGATGAGAAAAGCCGAGGGCTCCTTGTGGGCTGCTTTGCTGTTTGCAGAGAGCTTTGAGCTCGTTCCCAAAAGGCACGTTAGCCTGAGGACGTGGCACATCACCCACCCGTGATCAGTGCTTTCGCGTTCCTGCTTAGAGAAAACTCAGGACATTAATTCTTGAGAAAAGTTACACCTAAGGCTATGGCCTCCGGCCAAGGTATCTTCCAGGAGACTTTCAAGGGGGTCCTGGGCCCCAGGCAGGAACTGACAGGGCCCTGCTGGTTCCCTGCTGGCCCCTCTACCTCTGGTTTTGCTCCTGAAGCTGCTCCTGACTCCATTGCTTTGTCCTGGGCTTTGGAGAGTGGGCTAACTTGTAGCTTTCCAAGGAGGGAACCCCAGGAGCTCCCCATCAACCCAGCTGCTTGCCCCACGTTGGCACCCCAGGAAAGAGAGCGAGGGGAGTGGGCCAATGAGGAGAGAAACAAAGCCAGAGCCACTGACTCGGATACCCAAGGCAGACTTGGGGGGGTTTCTGGTTCTAACCTTGCAAATGTGGGAAAATTTTATGAGAGGGAGGGAGGGAGGGAAATCTAGCCAGGGCTATGGGGTCAGACAGGTCCTAATGTTCAGGCACTTCCCCCCTTAGGCCTCAGTGTGTGCATCTGTGAAATAGGAATAAGGTTCTAAGACTCCCAAAGTCATCCCAGATATGACACACGTGTGACCTCAGCGGGAGATGTGGGTCCAAGGATCGATCGAGGGCACAGAAGAAGGTGGCCTGAGGGACTCTACCAGGAGGCTTTGCTCCTTCCCTCTGGGTCTTTCATTCCCTTCTTGCCCAAACGTAGAGCTTTTCCTGACATCCAACCTGTAGGGCAGAATATGGCTGCCTTCCTTACAGGAACCAGCCACATCAAGGCTAGAACATGCAAATTCCCCCAGGAGACACTCTGATTGGCTCAGCCTGGGTCAGGTGATTGCATCTGGCCCAATCAGCTGCAGAAAGGAAGTGGGTCTCAGGGGAACAAAGATGGCTGCTTCTATTGTGGCCATATGCAATGGAAGGCGAGAGGAGAGGATGTAGGCGAGGCAGACAAACAAAAGGATTGGTTTCTGCTACAACATAGCAGTGTGGTGATGGGGTGGCCCTCAGGCTGTGGGACCAGAGTGACAGGGCCAAGACATGAGTGTGTGGAACCAACCTGCGAGAGCCCAGGAAGCTGGTCGCTGAACGAGCGTGGGGAAAATTACATCGCCTGCATCTACCGTGAAATAAATTCCATGCCACACTCAAAACTCATCACTTCCTCGTTATTCTGCTGCCTGCTCCCATGACCGCAAGCTCCGTCTGTCTGTCTCTGTCGCCTGGTGGGAGGCTGCGTCAGTCACAGTGGAAGTATTTACCACCTAGAAGTCATCAAGCCCTCTAAGTCTTCCTCCACCTCCGGGAAGCCGGGTTGGAATCCTGACTCTGCCGCTCACTGCCTAGGTTGGGCTTGGAAGGGTCACTGAGCCTCTCAGAGCATCCATGTTTTCATCTCATGGGGTGCTGGGAGGTTGAGTGAGTGGATGTGTAACCGGCATGGGGTTAGGTGTGAGCCATGATGATGACGGAGAAGATGAAGATGATGGTGGTGATGAAGAGGATGATGGTGGTGTTCCCATGAGAGGTGTTCTCACGGCGTGCTGAGTCTGTCTCAGCTCAGCCTATAACGACCTCCTTGGTGCCTCTCTTTCCTTTGTTCAGGGACACTGGTAGCTTGATGTTGGCCCTGGAGGGCAATGTTTGCTCCCCAGAAAAATTGGCAATCCTTATAAACCTAGGCTATGCCAACCCTCCCACCAGAGAGCTGGTTGTTAACTGTTGACCAGCACACCACCGGGTTGTGACCCACACCTGCTACATCACAGATACTCAACAACAAGGCAGCTTGGGTTGGCAACAACATCTCAGAAGCTCCGAAACAGATGCAAACCAGATAGATCAAAGGACAGGACGGATCCTAGTGCCTGAGACTTGGTCCCCGGATGGCGTTCACCTGCTGTCTCTGGAAGCAGTGCCCACCTGACCGGCCTGTGTGACCCTCTTTCTCACAGAGCCTGGCAGCCAGCATCAACAAATCAAGGGACTTCCTTGCAGCCAATTACATGAATCTGCAGAGACCCTACAGTGTGGCCATCGCTGGCTATGCCCTGGCCCAGCAGGACAAGCTACGGGGAGCATTCCTAAACAAATTCCTGAGCAAAGCCAAAGGTAAGGGGCAGTGTGGCGGGGCCGCAGGGAGGACGAATGGCTGGGATGCCCAGTCGTAAGCTGAACTGGGCTGTGTGTGTCTGAGATGTGCCCGTTGCAAACCACGCAAGCAGGTCTGTTTGTAGCAGGTGCATCCCTCATTCAGTAAGTGTCCGTCAAGCATTCCATTAGCAGAGAGAGTTGGTGAAGGCAGAGGGAGAGGCAGCAGTCAGGAGATAGACAATGACCTTGAACGCCCACCCAGAAGTCTAGAATTAGTCTTCCTCTGACCTCCCCCGGAGCCAGCCCCCGGCTGGTCAGAGCAGTGAGTGCTGGGCACGGGGGCCGCCTTCTTGCAGAAAAGAACCGCTGGGAGGAGCCGGGTCAGAGGCTCTACAACGTGGAGGCCACGTCCTACGCCCTCCTGGCCCTGCTGCTGCTCAGAGACTTTGATTCGGTGCCTCCGGTTGTGCGCTGGCTGAACGAGCAGAGATACTATGGCGGTGGCTACGGCTCGACCCAGGCAAGCGGACTCATGTACCCCCCCCCCCCGGGGGCCCGCAGAGAGGTGGTTCTGTCCCCTGAGCTGCGGTGATGGGAGCGGAGGAGGGAAAATGAGTTCCCCTTAGCTGGGAGCCCGTGGGTGGGTTCTGGACTCCACTTGGAATGTTCCAGCTGTGTCTGGAGCCTCCCCGCCCTCCTGGTGTCGCGGGCATGTCCTCGTGTCCCAGGTTCGGACCTCGGCTTCCTTATTTCCCAGTGTCACCTGGTCTCACTGGCAAGTTCCCAACCAGCCTTGTGGTTACTCCAGGACTCTGCTGGGTCTCTGCCCCCCACCCCACCACCCACTGGGCCCTTCCTGGTGGGATCAGGGTCCCATTCTTATATCACAGCCTTAGTCACACCTTTGTATTTTTTTCAAAGATTGATTTACTTGTTTGAGAGGCAGAGTTACAGAGAGAGGGATCTTCCATCTGCTAGGTCACTCCCCAAATGGCCAAAACAGCCAGAGCTGGGCCAGGCTGAAACCAGGATCCAGGAGCTTCTTCCAGGTCTCCCATGTGGGTATGGAGGCCCAAGCATTTGGCCCATGTTCTGCTGTTTTTCCAGGCCAGTAGCAGGGAGCTGGATCTGAAATGGAGCAGCCAGGACTTGAACCAGGGGCTTTATGGGATGCCGGCGCCCCAGATGGAGGCTTAACCTGCTGCTCCACAGCGCAGGCCCCCACACTGTCGTATTCTAAATCGTAGGCTCGGTGTGCCCAGGCTTCAGTTTTCTACATTTTCTCATGAATAGGTTCTAGGTACATTCTAGGTGCTTTCTAGGCCCTGGTCTAAGACTCTCCCTTCAGTGGGTCCAGACCACATTCTCAGCATTGTTAACCTTCAATCTGACTCTTGAACTTTCTGGACATGTTCTCACCATCTTCAAGCCCTGGTCTAAGTGTCTGGCCCTTGGAGAGTTCTAGAACACGCCCCCAGTGTCTAAGGACATCCGATGTTACCTCTGAACTCTCTGCAAGGGTCTAGGCCACCAACTGATTGTCACCAAGTCCTGGCGTGGTCCCCTCTCACCCCAGAGAATTCCAGAACGCATTCTCAGTATCCAACAACTGCCTGCCACACACATGCACTCTCTGTTGGGTTCTGGGCCACGGTTTTGGGGAGCAGCCATGATCTGAACCTCTCATCCCCCACTGGCTTCTAACCACGCTCTCTCATGGGTTCTAGGCCACCTTCATGGTGTTCCAGGCTCTGGCCCAATACCAAACCGATGTGCCTGACCACAAGGACTTGAACATGGTGGTGTCCATCCAGCTGCCCAGCCGCAGCTCCCCGGTCAAGCACCGCATTGTCTGGGATTCCGCCAGCCTCCTGCGGTCAGAAGAGGTACAGTTCCCGGGCCCAGGCCTCCCTCCTCACACCTGCCACCCCGGCCAGGCTCTGCTCAGAGCCACCGGGCAGGACGGGTGACCGCACCAGCCCGGGGCAAGGCCTGCGCCCCAGCGCCCCCTCTTCTTGCTCCCCTCTCTCTGCAGACCAAGGAAAATCAGGGTTTCACGCTAACAGCTCAAGGGAAAGGCCAAGGCACCTTATCGGTAAGGAAGGTGGACTCACTCCTGCCGGGTGCAGCCCCTGTGCCCCGGAGGGCCCTCCCCTCCCCTGTCCTCAGGGGCCCAAGGCCCACAGGTGGACGCTTTGTCTCCCCACCCCTCATCTCACCAGGTGGTGACAACCTACTTCGCCAAGGTCAAAGGCAAAGTCACCTGCAAGAAGTTTGACCTCAGGGTCAACATAAGACCAGCCCCTGAGACAGGTAAAAGGAACGAAGGCCCTGCCTGTCCCCCTTCCCCTGCATGTATGCTGATGTCTGCCCAGCCCTCCACCCCACACCTTGTGAACCAGGACCCAGGGACACCCCCACCCACAGTTCTGTCTCCTTTGTTTCTAGTGAAGAAGCCGCAGGATGCTAAGAGCACAATGATCCTGGACATCTGTACCAGGTGAGACGCCAGGTGGTCGGGGTCCACCCTGGCCATCGCTCCGTCTCTAGGAGACTTTTTACGACTGGGAGCCGTGTGCTTTCTGAGTTGCCTCTCAGTACTGGCCTAAGAATAATCGTCACGGCGTATTGGTCAGCAGCCGTGGCGGGTCCCGTGTGCGATGGCTTACCATCATAACCACTAGGTGGTTCCAGAAGTGAGCAGTTCCTGTCACCCAGTGACAACTTCCTGTCACCCAGTGAGCACTTCCTGTCACACAGTGCGATGTGTTAGTGGTGCTGGCGGTGCTGCTGGTGTCAACACACCTGTCTCACTAGCGACAGCTTCCTGTCGCGTCACGACAGCCCACGATACTCAGGACCATGGCACGCTGCCCAGACTGTAGCCCGGGAGCTGTGAGCTGTGCCGTATCCCCAGGGTGTGCAGGAGGCCGTCCCACGTAGCTCTGTGACAGCGCACTCTGACAGGTTCACACGCCAAACGTAACAGATGAGTGACACGTGACCAAATCCGCTACACGGCAGAGCAGTCTGCTTTGTGTGGCGCTCTGAGACTGCAGCCCTGACAGCAAGCCGAGGCCGTGCAAAGGGATCCGAACCATCCACGAAGGAGATTCCAGATGGTTCTATGACCTTTACATTCCTCCCTCCTGCCAGCTATGAAGGCATAGGGCGATGCCGACAGCTATACCTTTAAAACTGCTTTGACTTCATTGGCTTTTCCCTTGTCAGTCAGTCACCTTTGGAGAGTTCTGCAGTTGGGACAATGCTTGCCTTCTGTTGCCATAACTTGCGACGTGCAGTGGCAGGTGGAACAGCCACAGAGGGAGGATCATGTGGCGAGCGGGCAGCAGAGAGAGATCTGAACCCAACTCAGGCTGACAGCCGATCTTCTCCTGAGCTCTGCCTCCCAAGGGCATGGCCAATCCCGCCCTGGGACCCACACCTTTCTCCCTTCCCCGTTCAGGTACCTGGGAGACGAGGATGCCACCATGTCTATCCTCGATATATCCATGATGACCGGCTTCGTCCCTGACACAGATGACCTCAACCTGGTCTGCAGGGCTCAGGGGGGCTGGGCTCGGGGGAGGAGGGAGTCTGGGGTTTGGCAGCAGGGCCGGAAGGAGCCCAGGGAGGGATTTTTTTTTCCCAAGCCCCGCTCCTGCCTTTCCACAGCTGAGCACTGGTGTGGACAGATACATCTCCAAGTATGAACTGAACAAGGCCTTCTCCAACAAGAACACCCTCATCATCTACCTGGACAAGGTAAGGCTGCATTCTCCCCTGGGTGCCATGACCCTTACCTGGCTGGCCTGTCCTGCCCCCCTGACCTAGCACTAAGCCAGGGGTCTGGGCTACTGGGTAACGGGGATGGAGCTGATAAAGCCAGGTGGCTCTCCCAGGATCACCACTGTCTGTGTACCTTGCCTTCTGCCACTGATGCTGCAACCTTGTTTTCCATACATATCCTCCTTGTTTTCCACTTCTCATCTCTAGGGAGTCTGCAACGGCCATTGCAGAAGGGCCGCTTTGGTCTTCGGGGTGTGTTAGTGGACAGGAAGAGCCTGCCTTGGTCTCTGTTTCCAGCCCCCGTTTTGTTCTCTGCTCTTGCTTTCTCGCTCTCTTCTCCATGAATTTTTTTTCTCTTCCCCCACCCCTTTGTCTTCCCATCCCCATATCCAGTCCTTCCCAGTGCCTCTCAACACCACAGAAATAACACCAGCTAGGGAAACAGAATGCCGAACAAGAGGGGAGGGGCTGGGCATCCACATGAGAGACTTGTGCTCCTCATGTGGGTGAAATTCAAGGCAGGAAGGAGCTGTGTGCCCCATGCAGTCCCTTGGGGATCCAGGCACCTTCCCTCGTGTGGCTCTGCCACCCATGGGCTCCTGTAGTTCTCTGCAGAATCCACACTGTCCAGTAGAAGACAGAATTGTTAGGGGAGAGAGGGGTAGTTTATGGGCATAAACAGCAATCCGTGGGCCAGCGTCCGGGCACCTGGTCACAGCTCACTTGAGGGGTGTGCTGGGGGGAGGATGATAAGCGTAGTCCAACTTCAAGCCCAGGAGAAAGAGGAAATGGATTTGCTGGACTACCCACTCCCGACTGCCCCTCCTGCCACCACCACCGCCCGGAAGCCTCCCCCTCGGCCCCTGCATTTCTCTGCCACACCTGCAGCTCCCTAGACTTCCCTCCCACACCAGCCTCTGAGCAGCCTCCCGCTTCCCCCAGATCTCACACTCCCGGGAAGAATGTCTGTCCTTCAAAGTCCACCAGTACTTTAACGTGGGGCTTATCCAGCCGGGAGCTGTCAAGGTCTACTCCTACTACAACCTGGGTGAGCAGCCAGGGGGCTGAGAGTCCTGAGGGGCTGGGGGACCCAAGGCCCTCAGAGCTGGGATCTGTGGGTCACAGGGTTTGCAAGTTGGGGATCTGAGCGTCCCAGGGTTTGAGGGTCCCAGGGGACCTGAGGGCTAGGGAGTCTAAGAATCTCAAGAGTCCGAGGGTCCCAAACCCCAGACAGTTGGGGGTCCCAGTGATCCATGAGCTGAGATTCTCGGAGCCCTTGGAGGCAGTGCTGGAAGTCTGTGGGTCACAGGAGTCTGTGACTGGAGGGTTTAAGGACTTCCAGGGCCTGAGGTCTTGAAGATGAGGAAGTTGGGGGGGGGGGCTGGGCGGAGTCCCAGGGCCCCAAGGATCTGAGGGCTTGGGTCTATGCATCAAGAGGATTTGCAAGTTGGACCTGAAGTCTCAGGGCCTGAGGGTCTCGGGGGTCTGGGGGTTGGGACCCAGCACCTCCAGGTCTGAGCCTCCCTGGCATGCATGCTCTCTGGGCTGTTTGATGTTGATGGCTCTCCCGCCTCACCTCTGCCCACAGAGGAAACCTGCACCCAGTTCTACCACCCGGAGAAAGAGGACGGGATGCTGAGCAAGCTGTGTCACAAGGAGATGTGCCGCTGTGCCGAGGGTGGGCGTCCTGGGGCCGGGAAGGGGTGGGCGCCCGCGCGGTAGACCCCCAGGGCTGGCCACACCCAGCGCACACCGTGGTGTAGACCAGGGCTGCAACCCCACTCTGCAGAGAACTGCTTCATGCAGCAGCTGGATGAGAAGGTCACCCTGAACGACCGGCTGGACAAGGCTTGCGAGCCAGGCGTGGACTATGGTGAGTGGGGCACAGCCCTGTGTGGCCGTGGGTGAGCAGTGGTGTGTGCAGCTCTGGTTGTTTGTGTCAGACTGAAGGCGGTGGGTGTGGCGGTGGTCGTGTGGGCCACCGGCTGTGTGTGGCTGCTCCTGGCTGTGGTTGCAGCTGAGCGTTTTATGTGCATGCGTGGATGTGTTGCCAGGGGCCGTGATGGTGTGGGGAACCATGGTTATGAGTGGTCTTGGTAGGGGCGAGTGTGTGAGAAAAGTGGTTGTGAGAAGATGTGTGTGTGTGTGTGTGTGTGTGTGTGTGGCTGTGAGGCCATCAGTGGGCACAGTTGTGGTTATGCAAGGCTGTGAGCATGGATGAGAGTGACTATGAGTAGCTGTCATGTGCATGACTGTAGCTATGGTTGGTTGTCTTTGAGGTGTTAGCTGGTGAGTGGCTGTGGTTGTGTGTGACTGTGTGAGGCTGTCACTGTGAGGGACTGTGTATAGTGTGTGTGAGGCAGTGGTTGTGGGTGACTGTGTGAGGGACTGTGGCTGTGTGTGGTTGTATGTGCCTGGTGGGAAGCAGTGTTTGTGGGTGACTGGATGGGAGTAGCTGTGGCTGTAGCTGTGAGTGTAACATAGACATGGCTGTGTGTGCAGCCATGGTTGTGTGTGAGACTGCAGTGAGTAACTAGCCTCAGAAGACTGGTTGTGGACGACAGTGCCTATGAGTAGCTCAAGTGTGGAAGACTGTTGTGGACGACTGAAGTCGTGTGTGTGTCCATGAGTGTGAGTATGGGTGAGACAGTGCTTGGGGGTGATGTGGATAGGAGTAGTGATAGTTATATATATGGCTGTAGTTTGGGAAGGTTCTCATTGTGTGTGTGGTTGTACCTGTGACTGTGAGACTGTCGGTACATGTAGCCAGGCTGTGTGAGTCTGGATGGCTGTACATTGTGAGCAGCTGTTGTGTCTATGGCTGTACCTATGGGTGTCTCTTGCTGTAGTCGTGGTTGTACATGTGACTGTGAGACTGTAGGTACACGCAGCAACTCACAGTGTGCATGCCTCTGAGTGCGGCTGTGTGGGAGGTGATCATGTGACCGGCTGTGAGCCCCCGTCTCTGCTTGAGTCACACGAGCAGGTGCCACTCCAGGCTGGGTGGCCCTGCTGTGGCCGATCCTGCCCGTGACCCACCTGCCACGCTCCCCTCGGCAGTGTACAAGACCAAGCTGGTCCAGGTGGAGCGGGCAGATGACTTCGATGAGTATCTAATGGTCGTGGAGAACACCATCAAGTCAGGTCAGCCTCAGCCTGTCCCGCGTCCCGCCCTCCTCCTGGGGCTCCCTGGGCGCGGCTCAGCTCGCCTCCCCTCTCCACCGCAGGCTCCGACGAGGTGCAGGCCGGGCAGCAGCGCCGGTTCATCAGCCATATCAAGTGCAGAGACGCGCTGAAGCTGAAGGACGGGAAGCACTACCTCGTGTGGGGGCTCTCCTCCGACCTGTGGGGCGAGAAACCCAAGTGAGCGCCCGCCCCTCACGCGCACGTGCCCCCCCCCGCCCCCTCCGGCCCCGCCCCTCCGGCCCCGCCTCCAGGCCCCGCCTCCCCGGCCCCGCCTGACCTGCCGCCCCGCCCCCAGCACCAGCTACATCATCGGCAAGGACACCTGGGTGGAGTTTTGGCCCGAGAAGGAAGAATGCCAAGATGAGGAGAACCAGAAACACTGTGAGGACCTGGACGCCTTCGCCGAGAGCATGGTCGTCTTTGGCTGCCCCAACTGACCCCGCCCCCCCCCCGCGGGTTCCCCCCAATAAAGACAGACTTCACCTGTCTCTCTCAGTCTGCACTTCGCGCGGAGGGAGGGATCACTCGCCGGCCGCTCTGCTCCCTCCCACCAGCAAGCTCTCCTGTCCTTGCTGGCTGGATTCCCTCCAGGGGCTGCCTCCCCTGCACCCCGCCCCCAGTGCACCTGCGCCTCCCCCCCACACACACACAAGGGAGGGATCACTCGCCTGTCACTCTGCTCCCTCCCACCTGAAATCTCTCCTGTCCCTGCTTGATTCCCTCCAGGGCTCACCCGCAGGTTCCCTGCCTGCCTCCCCTGCACCCCGCCCCCAGTGCACCTGCGCCTCCCCCCTCACCTGAATTCCCACCTCCATCTTTCCTTGCCCTCCCTTCTGCCTCCTGCCCAGCAAGCACTGTGCCTTCCTCACCTCCTCACTCACCTGCCTCCTGACCTGCGAGCTCCCGGAGTCTCCCCCAGAAACCTGCTCGCTCAACTGCATGAGTGCATTTTTTTTCTTTTTTACATCCTCACCTGGCTGCCTGCCCACATCCTCATCTGTAAGCTCACCTGTGTCTTAACAGCATGCTGATGTGTGCTCGCCTGTTTTGCTACCTGCATAGCCTCTTCTGCAGGTGTGTTCTCTCTGCATCCGTGTCTGGGCCCTCCTCCTCCTCTGGGTATCTCCTTGGGATCTTAGCAACATCCTCACCTGTGTCTTACCTGCATGCTCACCTGTTGTGGGGAGCAACTGAGACTAGACTAAGTTACTGGAATTAAGACTTATTCTAGGGCCAGCGCCGCGGCTCACTAGGCTAATCCTCCGCCTAGCGGCGCCGGCACACCGGGTTCTAGTCCCGGTCGGGGCGCCGGATTCTGTCCCGGTTGCCCCTCTTCCAGGCCAGCCCTCTGCTGTGGTCAGGGAGTGCAGTGGAGGATGGCCCAGGTGCTTGGGCCCTGCACCCCATGGGAGACCAGGAAAAGCACCTGGCTCCTGGCTCCTGCCATCGGATCAGCGTGGTGCGCCGGCCGCAGCGCGCCGGCCGCGGCGGCCATTGGAGGGTGAACCAACGGCAAAAGGAAGACCTTTCTCTCTGTCTCTCTCTCTCACTGTCCACTCTGCCTGTCAAAAAAAAAAAAAAAAGACTTATTCTATGCATCTGCTCTCCCACAATATGGTGTTGAGAGAGAGACCAAACAACCTCTATGCAGCTGCCTCTCGCCAGTTTGACTGATAAGCTGCGGGAGCTGATCCTGCTCCTGATTGGAGGAGAGCAGCGTGCTCGGCGTGTGGGTAGCAGAGTTGGGATTGGTGGAAGAGGACTATAAAGGAGGAGAGAGACAACATGCACCAGGAACATCTGAAGGAACACCTGTGCAGCCCCCGAGAGAGCCGGCCGGCGGTGTGCCGCTCCTCTGCGGAAGCGGGGAAAGTGGCAGGGGGAGCCGCCCTTCCACAGAGGTGGAGGGGTCGGCAGCCAACCCGGGAAGGACCAGCAGCAAACCTGGGGAAGGGCTGAGCAGACAAAAGAACAGCGCAGAGTCCTGTGTCGTTCCTCCGCGAATGGGGGAGCGACAACCTGTACCGTCTGCATTTTCTCCTGGGTCCTCCTCAGCGCCATCATCCTGCAGTCTGGCTCTGCCCTCTCACCTGTCCTCAGTCCATCCCGTGGCCCCTGGTCCTCAGCTGGCTCTGGTTCCACTTCCTGTCTCACCTGCTTTCCGTGCGCCCGTCATCAGTGCAGGGTTCGTCTGGTGAATGCTTCATCCGGTTCATCAGGTGGCTGCCGGGCCAGGGTGGGCAGGGAGGGGTTTCCAGCTGGAGCCGAGGCCTGAGTCAGCAGTGGGGTGGGGTGGGGGCCGTTGTCACTGTGTGGCAGCACTGCGTGGGGCACCACCAGCCTTGGAAGGGGTGGGGGGTTGTGGGGAGGACAGCGCCAGGGCTAAGGCAGACTTGTCCCTAGGGGATGGGCAGGTGGGTGTTGAGGGCGGGCTCCAGGGTGCCAGCTCTGGCTGAGATCATCACAGGAAAAGGCCACAGAATCTGAAAGTCACTGCTGGGCCCCTGCTCTGGGTCCTGGGAACCCCTACCCACCTGACTCCAGGAATATGAGAAAGAACCAGCTCGCTCGCTTGCTCGCTCTCTCCTCCTCCCACCCCCCACCTCCAGCCCCCAAATGCCAAATGCTACTGTCAGGGAGAGCCCCAAGTGCCTGTGACTCACCGGATGCCCCAGTGACCACTGTGAGGCACCCCCACCCCTTTCAGATCCATCCTGTGTGTCCCATTCTTCCTCACCACCCCTCCCTCTGGCTTGAGATGCATGTCACTCATTTTATTTGAGAGGCCGAGAGAGAGCTCTCTCTGGTTTGTTTCTCCCAATGCCCAGGATGACCTGGACTGGGTCCAGGCTGAAGCCAGGAGCCAGGAACTCCATCCAGGTCTCCCACGTGGGTGGCAGGGGCCCAGGGACCTGAGGCATTACCTGTTGCTTCCCAGGGTTTCCTGTAGCAGGAAGCTGGAGTCAGAAGTGGAGCCAGAGCTCAAACCCAGGCGCTCCGATGTGGGATGCAGCTGCTTTAACCACAGAGCCGAATCTCCACTCCTGTTCTTTTTCTGAACATGTGGGGGTGCTGTCTGGTTTTGTTTGAGTGTTGCTATGACTAGCAAAGGTAGGGTCTTAGGAATCCTACAGGAGGCCAGTGTCTTGGTACAGTGGGCTCAGCCGCCACCTGCAACACCTCCCATATCTCAGAGCACTGGTTCCAATCCCATCTGCTCTGCTTCCAATGCAGCTCCCTGCTAATGCACCTGGGAAAGCAGCAGGTGACTTCCCAAGTGCTTGTGCACCTGGCACCGCCACACCCACCGTGGGAGACACAGATGGAGCTCCTGGCTCTTGGCTTCAGCCTGGCATATCCCTGGCTGTTGTGGGGATTTGGGAAGTGAACCAGCGGATGGAAAGTCTCCCTGTCTCTCTTTTGCTTTCTGTTATCTGCCTTCCAAATAAATAAACCTTTTAAGAACTGAACACAAGGGCCGGCGCTGTGGCGCAGCAGGTTAAAGCCCTGGCTTGAAGCGTCAACATCTCATATGGGTGCCGGTTCTAGTCCCGGCTGCTCCTCTTCCGATCCAGCTCTCTGCTATGGCCTGGGAAAGCAGTGGAAGATGGCCCAGGTCCTTGGGCCCCTGCACCCATGTGGGAGACCCAGAGGAAGCTTCTGGCTTCAGATTGACACAGCTCCGGCCGTTGTGGCCATCTGGGAGTGAACCCATGGATGGAAGACCTCTCTCTCTCTCTCTCTCTCTCTCTCTACCTCTACCTCTACCTCTATCTGTGTAACTCTTGTCTTTCAAATAAATAAAAATAATTTTAGAAAAAGAACTGAACACATAGAAGAGGAACAGGAAAAGGCACTCATAGGCCTCATGAATTCAGACAGGGCAGTTATCCAGAGAAAGGAAAGCAGAACGAGGTGACCTCAGGCCGCTTGCCCTGGGCCAGGCTGTGGCATGGCCATCCAGGCGGGGTCCGGGGAGGGCTCGTTTCGGTGCCAACCCAGCACCTGGCGTCTTGGGCGAACGCGGTCTCCGTGTTCTGACTCCAGCTTCCTGCTACAGGCGACCCTGGGAGGCAACAGGTAATGCCTCAGGTCCCTGGGCCCCTGCCACCCACGTGGGAGACCTGGATGGAGTTCCTAGTGGCAGGTCTTTCTGTGTGGCGTCTGCACCTGCGGTCCTCAGATGGGGGTGGGCTGCACCTGATCAGAGGAAGGGTTGAGGGCAAACACGCAGTGTCTGAAGCACGGGTCGGCGCTTGCGTCCCCTGCTCT